GGGAGATTTCCGGCTTCTTGTGAAACTTTCAAAGATACCACCACATGGGCTCATACCACATACAGGAACTCTGATGGTGCCGAGTGGTGACTATTTCCTCTTCAAAACCCAAAACCAAACCCACTGCCATTGAGTTCATTCTAACTCATAGCTACCCATAGGGTTTCCAAGGCTGTAAATCCTTACAGAAGCAGACTGTCTCATTTTTCTCTGGCAGAGCGGCATGTGGGTTCAAACTGCTGGTGTTCTGCTTAACAGCCAAATGCTTTAGCCACTGTGCCACCAGAGCCCCTCGCCCCCTCTTAGCAGAGCTTTTTCTTTGCAGATTGTCAGTGCTAGTGAAATGGGTCATTTTACTCTGTCCCCTGTGGTCATCTGAGTTTGCAAATTCTAATGGGGGATATTAATAGGGACCAGGAAGAAAGAAGAAAAGAACAAGAAAATCAAATACAGTGGAACAAATAACACTGGAGAGGAAAAAAGAAGGTGAGAGAGAGAAAAGGAAAGAGGAGAGAAAGAAGTGCTTACAGCACACAGAGGCTGCCCACCGCCAGCACCTGCCTCCTCTGCTGCTTCACTGCAGGGATCACTGATGAAGGCGGTGGGCATTACTGTCAGCACATCTCATGTGGCCAGGCTCACAGTGCGGAAAGTCAGGAGAAGCAAAGCCATCTGAAAGGAGCAACATCCCTAACGGAGGGTGGGAGTGGTGAGGGGGCTAAGAAGGGGACCATATGAATGCAGGCAAAAGCCATAGGTCTTCTTTTTCCATACCCCATATATCAAGGGGTTTGTTTGGACTACTCCTGCATCTTCCTTTTTGAGACTGTGGTGAACTACGGCAAGCACTGTCCAGGTGCCTCCTATAATAAACCAGGGCCTCCTGGACAGCTGTGCAGGCTGCGCACTGCACCAAACCTCTCTTAAACCCTGCTTCAAGGTATCTACATGGTTTACTCCCTTATCTCCTTCAGGTTCTAGCTCAAAGACTGCCTTCAAAGTGAAGCCTTCTCTGACTCCACTACTGTATTTTTCAATCACCATCTCACCCCCTCTTTTACTTGACAGTCCTTACTCCCCTTTACCACTTTATTCTTCCTTGCAGCTCTTATCACCACCTGCCACAAACTACTTTGTTTACTTATGTCTGCCTCTTTTAATAAAGCAGGGCTTCTAGGGGTCAGACTTCTGTTTTGTTCTCTATTGCATCACTACAGTCTAGAACTGTGCCCGGTATATGCTCACCAGATTGTCTTGAAGGAATGACTAAATCCTCAATCCCACTCTTAGAGTATAGGAATCTGTCTTTCACTAAAACCTGTGATTCTCTGATGACATATCCTAATTGCTATCCCTTGTTAGTTTAGCAGAAACACATTTTAAAACTTTATGGGACATTATATAGTTTATATGGCTCATAGGCCTTCATATAATTTTTATGGGCCTTACATAAGCTACATAATTTATTACAGAAATTAAAAAACAACAGAAGTAACCCACAAAAACACACTTGTAGAAATCTACACAATCACAGAAGAAATATGCATACCTGGGTATGTGATTACAAAGTTAACTGTTCTTTCATTTCACTGTGCTCACACCTCCTGCTACAAATGGCACATGTCTGCTTTTTCTCTCAATTACTTTTCACAGCTTATAAAAACACTTCCCTCATTTTGTCCCTTGAAAAACAAAGTAGTCAGATTTTACTGCATGTTTTTATTGAAACAAAGCCCACGGGGGAATATACTGAACTGTTTAACACAGCAGAAGAGATATCTGAGCATGGGCTTCTGATAGAACGACAGATTACAAAATTACTCACAGCTCCCAATCTGATAACAGGAGCAGAATGCGCGACACATCTGAATGAAGCCGTTTCTCAGTATGCTTTACTACAGCAAGATAGACAAGGTGAAAACAACTCCAGGGACCAGAAATGGCATAGTCATCATTTATCACGAACTTAAGGATCCCACCCTGGCCTTAGTGAGAAACGCTACAAGTACTTCACCTTCATTGATGGTGGGGGAGAGGTGATGAGGTGATGTTGAGAGAGGCTGGGGGCTAGGTTCCACACACAGTAAGGGAATTTACTTATAACATGGGATTGTTAACCTATTATCAGCCTTGCCTATGTTGCTGTAGTATCAGAAAGATGACATACTCAAAAGCAGCTTGAAAATTTAAGAGGTCTTTATGTTCCAGCCTTTTGATGTTTAAAACAATTCTATTATGTTAAGCAAATGGGATGTTTTCAAACATTGTCTTTTTCATGTGTTGTACTCTTAATAATTATGTATTTTTTTCCATTTTATTTGTGTGATATTTGTTTGTGTATCTGGATTGTAAATGCTTCAAGGGCAGAGATTTCATTTCTTCATGTTTTGGTTCTTCTCGTACTCAGCGTATATGACACTTAACATACAGTTCACAGCTATTTCTGGCGAGGCAAATGTGGGCCTGGCAGCAACTCAGTGTTTGTTAATGTGGAATCAAAGAGGTCCTGAAGTGACATTAGTCAGTGTGTCTATCATTCATTACTGAGAGGTGACTGTTTATTTTGCACTGAGCAAAGCCTATGAAGAAACTCTGCCCTGAGGGCTCCGTGTCAAAGACACCAGTTTCAACACACACCAACCAGGAAAAGCAGGTTAACTCCCTGGCACTTGAGTTTCTGACTATATTTTCCACCCTTAAAGGGGCACATTTAGGAAATAGGGTCTTCCACGAACAAACATAGTAGACCTAGGAAAATCTTAGGGGCAATGGGGAAAAGAAAGGAAGATGATTCTGGAGAGACTCACTAAGTCTAATGACTGTGAAGAAGAAACCGTGACATTAGAGTGGAGAAATGGGCACACAGAAGGACTTGGAAGAAACTCTGGCCACGCAAAGGGGAAGAAAGAGGAGGATGAAGGGGAAAGAGAGTTGGGAGGTGCTCTGAATGGGAAGGAGGTGGGTACTCACAGCACAGGCTTGGACACAGCCACAAAGAGAGAGAGGGTGTCCTGAAGGCTACTAGCCTTCTGAAATGACCACATGGAGCAAAAGTTAGTTTGAGGCTATTATATAGATTACCAAAAAAGAAAAAAAATAGGCTAGTACTACTTTGAATATTTATTGCCAACCATCAAGGAAATTGATTTTTGAAATGTAGTTATCTAACACTTAATAAAAACAAATTTTTCAAAAATTTTGAGATTCAAGTGCAACATGCTTATATAATTGTAAAGGAATTTATCAAATATGGGTATTTCTTCTGCTTAGAAAAGTGTCATCTTTCTATTATTGTTGTTGTTGTTGTTATGTGCTTTGTCACTTTTCATACTGAGTGCCTGTGCCTAATCTTGTACATTATATCATTCAGATAAACCTCACCCACTCATTCTGAAGGCATGTTGTGTCCATCTAATGAAAACACCTAACGTGATGTATCAAGAACAAAGCAATCTTTGAAAAAGCAGCAGCTCACTCTCTGAATGCCACAAATTCCTTCACATTAAAAGCAAACTATATTTCAGCTAATAATTATAGACTTATACACTGTTAAATATGAAAACTGAACAGAATTTGGAAAACACCAATGTATTTTAGAGACATCAGACACAGTTTTAGTACAAGAATTTCCAATGAATGATGCAAATTTTACCTGTGTTATTCAGCAGCTTCTAAAAGATTGAATATTGAATACATTACAGACTTGCAACATATGAATGGCAATCTTCTGTTCTATCATGGAATTTTACATGTTGAAAATAAAGCGTATTATGCTTAGGGCTAGGAAGCACAGCCATATACCTGTAAATAACTCAACTACCACTTACAGTGTTTACATAAAAGCACAATTTATGTCGCAGTCGCATAGAGAAACATGATGTACATCATTTTCAGATCATCTTCATGCAGGAAAAAAAAATCATTACTCAGCTATCACAGTTTAGCTGTAAAGGAAAATAATGTTTTCCTGAATCTATTTGCATGGCAATGTATGTGTGTCAGGCTGATGAAAGCCAGAATAAAACCTCACACAACACTAAGAAATATAAACAGTCTTCTTACAATTCAGGAGAGGGTCCAAATAGTCTATATACTTGCCAATGTCAGTTTTTATAATCTCTCATATTCATCCACCATCATAACTTGGCAATTAAAGTATCTTGATTACATTCTCCACGAGAACTGACAATACTCCATCCTGCCAGAAAGCTCCTTTGAACATAAAACTGTGATAAGGTAAAATACACCGGGCAACTATTCATGCTTGAGCCACTCAGACCCTCTTCAGATGCCAATTTAGCAAATGGCTCTTTTAAAACGTAAAAGGTTTCAAATGGGAAACCACATTTGAGAACAAATTCTGCACTGGCTGTAGGCGGTAAAAGTACTTTCATTGGTGGTTTAATTAATAGGTCAGTATTTGTACTGGCCAGACTGCCCGACCTCTGGTTACAATCTATTTCTTACGATCGATGTCCACCACAGAGCCCCAGCAAAGAGATAAGGTAGGGCTGGAAATGATGGATCACAGCCCTGTGTGTTCGCCAGAAATGAATTCAGACTTTCACAGAAACACCTGCCCTTTGGGAGGACCCCGGCATATTATAGATAAAGCAACGTTGGGAACAAGGAAACAGGCTTGCTCAAATCTTGGCGGCTGCAAGAGACCGGATCCCTTTTGTAAGGGATGAGTCAGATCACAGCCTTCAAACTTGCCCGTTCACAACAGTCACACATCACCCTCTATCCCAGCGCCCCTCTCCCTCCCGAGTCATACAGGTGGCTGTTGGAAACAAGCCCCTAACACGCAAAGCCCAATTCTAGTTTCCACCTCGTCCCACTGGCCACATCCCTCCAGTTGCTGAAGATCTTAAACTCTCGCCCACTTCCCTGGTCTTGTCCTCTGGAACAGCAGTCAGGTTTCTTAGGGGAACAAAGAAAGCAGACGCGCTGGGGCGACGGCTGGGGTGTGGGATCTGAATGGGGGGTTCTAGTTTTACCTTGAGGTGTTCAGCCACCGACCGCGGAGAAGTCTGCGGCGCGGGGACCACCCGCGCGCTCCGCGCCTCGTTGCCAGCAAGTCAGCTGTCGCCCCGCATCTGGCTCGCGCCCTCCGCTGGGCTCCGCATCTGGTCACAAAGCGCTCGGGGCGCTGCGGGCGGCGAGGGCCTCCGGGTCACCTGCGGCCGGCTGAGCCGAGCCCCCCGCCCGCCGCGCTTCCTCCGCCCCTCAGCAGCCGCGCGCCGCCCGGCCTGTGACTCAGCCGGGCATCGGTGCGCGCGGCCGGGCGCGTCCAGGCGGGAGGCACCGCGAAGCCGCGGGCCCCAGGCGCTCTCCGCGGGCCCGAGCACGTGTCTGTCTATCTCACACACTGTGTGTCCGCCCCGTTCTCCGGTCCGAGGACCGCTGAGGTGGGGATTGGCACCACCAGAGGGGGAAATAGGCCCCCACCCTTCCTGCTGCCTGCGCGCCACGCCTGGTCCCGCAGGGCTAATGTTTCCTCCTGCTCCTCCCCCGCCCGCAACAAGGTGAAACTTTCTAGGTGGAGAAGTTTCTCGCCCGGGCTGCGCGCTCTCTCCTCCCTCGGTTCTGGCAAGCTCGATTGAGCGCGGCAGAGGATGAGCGGGGCCGAGTCTCCCCCTCCTGGTGCCGGGCAGCGAGGGTGGCCCTGCGCGCCGGGCGCGTGGCGCGCACACACCGCGCCCACTCTGCGTCCCGCGGCGCGCCGCCCGCGGGAAAGCAGGAGAATCTGGCTTCAAGCCTCGCGTGTCTGTTAGCCGCTGGGCACTGACCCGGGCGGAGAGAGATTTGGACACCGCAAAAACAAGAAATTCATTGTGAGACGGAGGTAGGAGTAGATGGCAGAATTGTCCCAATGAATTCATTATACAACGATTATCCCTTACTATAATAACTCGGATTTCTAGAAGGAAGAACAACAGAGTTTAACCCCAAGGAGATTTCAGTCTCTTAAACTTTTATTTTACAGTTCTTGTGTGTGTGTGTGTGTGTGTGTGTGTGTTTGAGATTTGGGTGGAAATTTACAGAGCAAATACACTTTCCATACAGCAGTTCACATACACTTTGTCTTGTGAGATTGACAACAATTTAGCACAATGCAACATCTCCCCTCCCACTTCCTCCTGATAGTTACCTCTTCCCTGTGTCGATCTCTCCATGCACTCCTACCCCTGAGCTGTCTCCCTGTGGCCGAGCAGCCCTTTTTTTCTCTCATGCTTATTCTCTCCAAGGAGTGTATCCACCTCAGGTAAATGCTCAACTGGCATGCCTGTCTATTGCTTGGCTGAAAGCCACAGGTGTGTGTTCAATTCCAGACCTGAAGGGTAGCCAGGGGCCATAGTCTCAGTGGTTCCACCAGGCTGCCTCGGGCCAGCAAACCTGGTCACCGCATTTTTTTTTTCCAAATGATTTTGAGTTTTGTTCCACATCGTTCTCCCTGTCTATCCAGGGTCTCCTACAAAGATCCTCTTCCAAGTGGTTGACAGTAGTAGCTGAGCACCATCTATTTTTTCTGGTCTCATAGTCATATAGGCTGCAGATCGGATGGTGTACCAGTCGCTAGGACTAATTGTTTCCATGAATTTTTGGTTTTCTTCATTCTTCTTTGCTCTGGATGAGGAGAGACCCATCGTTGCATCTAGATGGCAGCTTGCAAGCTTTTAAGATCTCAGTCGCTACTGGCCGCAGTAGGAGATGGAACAATGTTTTGTGTAGTATGTTATGCCAATTGAGCTTGATGTCCTCTGTGACTATGGTCCCGAGACCACAGGTTCAACTACTCGGTCCCTCTGGGTAGTTGGCTGTGACCAAGCAGTGACTTCAACCTTGCCTCTTGTCAGCCCCATTATACACCTGGGAATTCAGATCGTACACATAAAGTTATTGGACCACTGTCTGCCAACCCTATACATGGGTGCACTCTCCACTTCATATACATACCTAATATTTCAGCCTGTCCACCCGTCTATCCACCCATATACCCGTGTTTGCCTTCACTGACAATGCCATACTATATGCGCAGAAGGGTTCATCTTTGTTGTCTGTACTTCCTATGTAACCTCTCTATGTCTTTCCCTTCCTCAATGCCACTATATTGATCACTCACATTTGGTATATTGCCCTTTCTTCACCCAAATCAAAACTTATCTCTATCTATCTAACTGTATTCCCTCCCCTCCCCTCCCACCCCTGGTAACCAACAAAGAAAATGACCTTCCGTAGATAAGCATTTCCTTGACTATTACAATAATGGACTAATACAATATTTGTCCTTTTGTGATTGACTTATTTCA